CCCTAAACCCCAAACCCTAAAAAGCACTATAGGGATTTAGGGGTTGCAGGGGGCTTAGTGTTTGGGGCTCGGGTCCTCCAGCACAAGAGCCTCTATATACCTATATCCTCCTCGAGTCCGATGCTGAGGAACCCAAAGGTTAAGGTTTAGGGTTTAGGGTTTAGGGTTTAGGGTTTAGGGTTTAGGGTTTAGGGTACAAGGGCTACTGACACTCAGAAGCCCGATAAAAACCGAACCCTTGCCCTCAAAGGACTCATATCTTAAGGCTTCCTTGGGCCCAAAGACCCTGTTATATACGGCATTTGGGCTGTTTTGACGCTAAGGGTAAGCGAAACATTACGCGCCAAAGCAAAAGGCCAAGCCTGAACCTTCAATGCCGCAGGGTTCAGACATTCCGAATCACTAGTCACCCCCAAACCCTCAACCCTAAGCCCTAAACCCCTAAACCCCTAAACCCTCAATCCTGGCCACAAACCCAAAGCCCTAAATCCTTGGGTTTAGGGTTCAGGGGTTAAAGTTTAGGCTTTAAGGTTTAGTGTTCAGGGTTTCGGCTTTAGGGTTCAGGGTTTAGGGTTTGGGTTTAGGGTTTAGGGTTTAGGGTTTAGGGTTTAGGGTTTAGGGTTTAGTGTTCAGGGTTTAGGCTTTAGAGTTTAGGGCTTAAGATCCTGAGGCTCCAGCTTCATCGTCCGGAGCTTGCTGAAGGGGATCGGGCTACCTCCACGAAACGATAGCAGTACAACGTACACACCCCGAACCAAGCTTTAAGAAACGAGATATCGAGCCTTGAGATCACGATATTCGAAATAAAGGCTTGCTATGTAGCGGTTCGGGCTAGGAGGCAGGCTTTTGGGTTTCGGAATGACGGTGGGCTAGTACTAGTTTGTGAACCATCGGGTTTGAGATTAAGGTTGAGGTTTGGGTGCTAGGCGGGCGTGGCGGCAGGAGCGGGAGCAGTACTAACCGTAGTGGCACCAGGGCGTGATCTTTCGACACTGGAGACTCTCTTCACACCGAAGAACTTTCTTTGGAGGGCTTGCCCTAACCCCCCTGGTACCTACTATATAGGGTCCTAGGGGCTCTAGTACCGATTAAAAAGTAGGTACTTGGGGGGTTAGGGTTGTATAAGCAGATCGAAACAAGGAGCCCTAAACGGGTATGTTCTCTAGCCGCCTAGCCTAACTGTTTGCTTTCCTTCGCAAGGCTGCAAGGCCTGGACTTTAGCCTGCAGAACCCGAGGATGAACCAAGCCGTGCCCTGGACTTATATACTGTAGGGGCTGAAATGATTACCAAAACTATTCTGGGCTTCCGGGTTTGGGGGTGAGGGTTTAGGGTTGCGGGTTTAGGGTTTAGGGTTTGGGGGTTTTGAGGTTTAGGGTGCAAGGTTGAAGAGGGCATATGAGGCACCTTCACAGCTTTCTATTGGGGGTTTAGGCTATATGAAGTTGTTTTAATGATTTCAACAGGGTTTGGGGGGTTAATTAGTCTATGGCTAGATACTGGGAGCCCTAGGAACACTGTGTCTGTTTAGTCAGGTTCTTAATTTAGGGGATAAGCCTGCTGGGCCGGAGGTGCTGAAGGGCTATTTTAAGGGTGCTCTGAGGGCTTTTTTCAATAAGAGTTCTAGAATTTACGGTTAGGAGTTTCGGGCTTAGGTATTAGGGTTTAAGAGTTTAGAGTTCAGCAGTATCGCTTCCATCCCCTAGAATCGAAGGTATCTACATGATTTGCAGCTTCGGGGCCATTGTAGGCTTAGGGGTTCAGGGTTCGGAGGGTTTGGGTTTTAGGCTTTAGGGTTTAGGGTTCGGGGGGTTTGGGGTCTAGGGTTTAGGGTTTGGGGTTTTTTGGGGTTGAGGCTTTAGGGTTTGGGGTTCGGGGTTCTGGGGTTTAGTCTTTAGGCTTTCGGGTTTAGGACCCGGATGTGCAAGATCCTACATACACCGCAAGCCTCGAGCCTCCATCTAGGATCCCGAGTTCGATTTCCGTAAACCCTAAACCCTAAACCCCTAAACCCCTAAACCTTAAGCCCCAAACCCCTAAACCTGAAAACCTAAACCCTAAACCCTAAACCCTAAACCCCAAACCCCTAAACCCTAAACCCCTAAAACCCTAAAACCCTAAACACATTTCGCAAGCTGCCCTGAACTCCGAAGTCGCTGGTGTGCCAACTCTTCGTTTGGAAGCCCAAGAAGGGCATCCCGACGCCTGATCCACTCTGGACTTCTGGTCATGAGGTTAGGGGTTTAGGGTTTAGGGTTTAGGGTTTGGGGTTTCGGGTTTGGGGTTTGGGGTTCAGGGTTTAGGGTTTAGGGTTTAGGGTTTAAGAGCTGAGCTAACAGGACAGTCGACAAGCTTTAGGGATACTACCCTAAACCCCTGAACCCTCAGGGCTTTTACCCGAGACCCTCAAATTGCCAATCCAGTTATCATCCTTCATGCCTTGCAAGCTCTAAACCCTGAACCCTAAAGCCTAAAACCCAATCTATGTTGTGATTTCTCCAGATACAAAATCGGACTCGCCAGCAAACCTCTTTTACCCTAAGCCCGAAGCCCGTGGACCGTAAGACCCGCCAGAACCCTACACCCTAAACCCTAAACCCCAAACCCCAAACCCTAAACCCTATAAACCCTAAAACCTTAAGCCCTAAGCCCTAAACCCCAAACCCTAAACCCTATAAACCTTAAACCCTAAACCCCATAAACTTTAAACTTTAAATATTATAAACCCTAAACCCCAAACCCCGAAACCCTACACCCTAAACCCGCCCCATTCCGCAGACCTGTAATCCTGGACTCCGCACCCCTAAAGAAGTGAAACTCTGGAGCTCGAACCCACGATTTTAGGAGCCCAAACAGGACATAAGCGTAAGCATGTTATAGGGATATCCCTACCTTACTGGGCTTCATTATAAGGGGGATTTATATGGGATATCCCTATCCTATTTTTTGCTTATGTGCTTTTTGGGGGCCCTACAAAAGACCGCACATAGTTCTACCCATAGTCCCCATAGTTGTTCCTTGTTGGGATTACCTAATAGGATCCTAAATATAAGCCACAAACAGGAACTACTATGGGGCCTATGGGTATGACCTTAAACCTTGAACTTTATACTGCAGTTACCATGGGGGGGAACCTCAATCCTTCGAGAATCGGGTTTTGGGGTATCTTTTGCTATGGTGTCATAGGGACTTGAAGGTAATATAGTTTCTGCGCCCTAGAGAGCCAAAGCCTTATTCAGCCAACTGCAACAAAGCCTTCTGTGAACTTGAAAAGTTCCAACACCCTAAACACCTAACACTCTTTACCCGAACCGGATCTAAAGGCTTCAAAGGGTTTAGGGGCTTAGGAGTTTAGGGTTTAGGGTTTAGGGTTTAGGGTTTAAGGTTTAGGGTTTAGGGGTTATAAGGGGCATCAGAAGTCGCGTCAACTCCGCTGCCTGGTAGGGCTCGCGACCCTGTCCGGCAAGGGCCCGCACTCGATTAGGGTTTAGGGTTTAGAGCTTCAGGGTCAAAGGCTTTCCCGGGAGGGTGGGGTCCCAGAAAACCCAATACCCCTCAATCAAGGAATATTCCTTACATTATAGGGGCCTTAATAGTAAACCCTAAACCCTAAACCCTAAACCCTATTCCTTTACTAAGGGGTATTGGGTTCTCTGGGGTCAAGGGTTCAGGGTTTACGGTTTTTCGAGTGGTTCTCAGAAGATGAGGGGCTTATTTTCTGGGGTGAAGGGTGGAGGGAGCCCTAAACCCTAGACCCTAAACCCTCCCAGCAGATCAGGATTTCGGAATTTAGGGTTTATCTAAGCCCCCAAAAGTAGGTAAGATAATGGCCCAACACCAAGGCCATTATTCTACATAGTTTTGGGGGTCCAGGTATAGGGTTTAGGGCGCTGAGCGGATCTACTTGGAGGTTCATGGGTAGTTATAAGTGGGGTTATAAGTAGGGTAGCTATAGTTATAACCCATATTAGGGGACTTATAACCCCATTTAAAACTACCCCTAAACCCTAAACCCTAAACCCTATATAAACCCTATAGAACGCTTTAAAGGAACCCTACTTATAAGGGGACTCATAACCCCATTTATTTCTACCCATGAACCTCCAAGTAAGGGCAGATTGGAGGTCGAAGGCGTAGGGTTGAGGACTCGACCTGCTTGTTAGGGGAGGCCCCGTATTCTGCCAGATCCAAGAGGGTTTGAGGGGTTTAGGGGTTGAGGGGTTTAGGGGTTTGGGGTTTAGGCTTTAGGGTAACGGTTTAGGCTTTAGGGTAGCAGGGTTTAGGGGTTTAGGCTTTAGGGTAACGGTTTAGGCTTTAGGGTAACAGGGTTTAGGGGTTGAGGGGGTTCGGGTTTGGGGTCTAGGGGTTTGGGGTTTAGGGTTTAGGGTGTGTGTCTGTGTGTTTGTGCGTGTGTGTCGGCCTGCGTGTGTGCGTGTATGGAGATGTATGGAGTAAAACTCGGGCGATGTACCCTAAATCCTATGCCCTATAAACCCTCAACCCTGAACTCTAGCTTCCCGGCCT